GGAGAAATTAAGAAGGAGAGTTTCATTCTGAACAGTGACCCAGAAAGCATACCAGCGACTGTCCAAAACCCGGCAAGTGTGACCAACTCTTTGTGTTGAGCATGCCTGCCCTGGCAACTGGGGGAATGGAACCTCCTACAGGCTCCAGCCAAGATCTAATCTAAGCCCAGTCCTACGGGAGAGCTGCTAGAAGGCCAGCTGTCACGTGCTCACTGGGAAAGCCTGCATCTGACCTAGAGGTTAAAGGATTAGGCAAAATAATCCCAAATTTCCCATTTTTAATAGTATAAAATCCAGGAGCTTTATGGAAAAGGTGCCTTAGTAAAAGCTCTCATGATCCATTGGTAAAATCTGGCTTCTTCAGTCTCAGGATATTAAAATCACAGCAGGGATACTCTCCCACATGACAATTCCACCTCCTCCAACATGTCACACTAAATGGTAAAAAAGCATACTACCGATTTGGCAATTACTTGTATTCTGAAGCTCTGCTAAAATTTCTCTTTTCCCTTTGTTTTGCAGACTTCTCTAGCAAACAAGTTTAACTGTGTTATGCTGCCCTCAGGTGTCCATTGTTTTATATGCACAATTAGCAGGGAAAGCAGGATCCTTTGTAAATTTCCAATCCCCTTCTTCATCCCTCCCTCCCCAATACATTTGAAGAAAAGAAGGGAGAGCAAAACTGACTTTAATAGAGTTTCACCTGTTTTCCTTAGCTTTTCTACTAATGAGCTGTGCACATGTGTAAAACTTGTAATGGCCAGAAGGAGAAGGCATGCAGTGACTGAATAATGTATCAGTGAGATACTGGGAGGACCTAATGACCACCACTGGCTCACTGATGCAAACTATCAGTGTTGCAGATTCCATTATGCATGAACCTATCTATCTATCTATCTATCTATCTATCTATCTATCTATCTATCTATTTATCTATCTATCTATCTATCTATCTATTTATTTTTAAAGCAGAACTACTGGGGGGAAAATAAAGAACAGATGAAGAAATAAAAACAGAGCTACAGGGAGTACAGAGAAAGAAGAGAAAAAATGGAGAAAGAGAAGAATGAAGAAAGAGGAGAGAGAGGGAAGAGGAAAAGGGAGGTACGTAGAGAGGGAGAAATGGAGAAATGGAGGGAGAGAAAAAGGCATTGCTTTGGAGTCACAGAAGCCAAGAAAACCCGGCTGAACATGATGAAGTCCGACATGCTTAATGAGGATTCCTATAAAAATCTAGGGAGTTGCCAAATTGATAGTGGACTGTATTCTAAAGGTCATTTTTAAATTGAAAAATTTGAAACTGTAATGTTTCTCTATAGAAACATTTTCACACCTGAAGGTTAGAGTAAAAGTGAACTCCATGTCTCACTAGAAACCCTTAGCAACTCTGAGATCTAGGCCTGATGCTTCAGTGAACTTTCAGTATCACCAGGAAGCTAGCTAGCTGGACAGCATGGGAGCCTGGAGGAAGCCACTCTGGCCAGGGAGTTCCCAATCAGGTGAAAGGAAAGACTGAGTACCACTGACGTGGAAAGGAGGCAGCACTGGCTCAATAGCAATTAAGACCAAGGCTGGAATCTACAACAGGATAAAGCCCAGGCAGAAAAGAAATGACAACCGGGGGCAGTGGGGCAGGGGGAAGAAACACATATGTAATACTTTTAATAATAAAGAATTTTAAAAAAGAAAGAAAGGAAATGAAGCCCAGGGATGGGATGGCTTTACCAGCAGAAGGTGTGGAGGGATCCAGAGAGACAGCTCTGCAGGAGGAAGGGAGGCAGCAGGCAAAATGCACTTATGGCAGCTGCCAGTCACAATAATGACAATCACAGCCAGAGATTTCCTGAGGATACTAACCATCTATCTACCTCATGCAGGTTTGTGGGACTTTTGAGGGTAGAACTAAAAAGTAGCACAATATGAAAAGTAAAAGAATTAAAATCACTTAATACCAATTCTTCTAATACTCATTTTCCATTTCTGATAATAAAGCAAATATTTTACCCATTACTTAAAAGTCTAGGTTCCTAGAGAGATAACCTAAGAATTAAAAACTCACAATTATCAATGCAGTTTACAGGTTGAATATAATCCATTTCTACGTTCTATCTGAAACTGAACTACACGTATCTTTTAACATTGTTCTGGTACAAAACCTACACTTCATTCCTCGACTCTTTCATCCTCCTACCAGTATTGTGTACTAGCCTTGGGTTTACTCCTTATCCAACCTATAACCCAAAAAGAGCCAGTAAGGTCCAGCCCTCCTACGTTAAACTCAGACCCCTGAGGATGCTAAAAGTGCCCTCTAAGTATCCCCAAGGCAAAGTATCGGCAGGATGCCTGGCCTGAGGCAGAGAGAGCTACCACCCCAGAAAAGCAACACTCCCACCCCCTTACATCCACGGCACAGGGTGGGCTGGCTTCTTGCCTCCAACCGTGGCCTGACCTTGGGCAGCCACTGTCTTGTGGACATCTTTTGACTTTTAGTTGTGAAATTGGCTAATGGACTATGCACCTCCCTATCCCACTCTTCATTTCAACTCAGTTCTGTACCTAAAACTTGCTGCCACCCCAGAGGCCATCCCTGGTGAGAAATGGCTGCCTATTGTCCTGCCTCTGCCACCTGTCTTCAGCCTCAGCAATTATCCTGCCAGGAGGGCTGGATCAAGGTACAGAAGAGCCAGTTATTGTCAACAGAGTGAATGCATTTGAAGATTTATCCAGAAAAAGAAATGGTTTGAATTTATTCTAACATGACAGGTGGTTCTATTCCTATCATTTCTAATAAAATACAGGCTTAAATGAAAAAAGGTTAACTCTTTCCTTATTGACAGTTCAAACAAAATTCAATACAATTTGGTTCCATTATAGCAAGAGAAAAATAGACATGTACCTATATTTGCAAGTTTAATTTACATGTATATCTCACAGATGACGAGGCATTTTAAAAGAGATTACTTGGCAAATTAGGCACATGGTCACAATTATAAATTTAATTTAAGAAAATAAACAACGTGCAGGCAGTAAAAGCAAATCAATACTATTGCTAACGTAATGATAAATCTTTCATATTTTTCAAAAACAGGTACTGAAGGGAATTGCCATTCTTAGTTCCAATGAAATAATTATAACATCTGAGTGAATTGCTCCCCCAAATATTGCATATACTTCAGATTGGAGGTTTTCTACCCGATGTAGAGTTTTAATTATAAGTCAATGTATAAATAAAATATCCCTCCAGGCTCTTTTACCTGCTACCATTTCTCCAGTTAAAGCTGACAAATGGAGGTAAGCCTAGCCAACACTACCCCAGGGAAGATCTGACTTCCAGAAGCATGTCCATTTATTTCTGCCCCTAACTCAAATGGCACAGAACTTGGAATGGAACAGACACACTCTAAGTGTTTGTTGAATGAGAGAATAAATTAGAAAAAGAAGGATAGGAAGGCATTCAACATGTAATGCTGTTAGATTTATTATATGAATATTCATTCTATCATTTTATTAGTAAGAAAGTTAGCAGGAAGAACAAAAGACCCATACCAATGCATTTCCAATGCATCATTCCTTTGAGTGAATGAAATCCTCATGAAAGATTCACAAAGAACAGCCAAAAGACATTCAATTCCCATGTTATTACACACACACACACACACACACACACACACCCCCCCCCCCGAGAGCATGAAGTCAAGCTTGGCTCAGCACTTCCAAGAGAGGAGATGCTGTTGTATTCCCATTATGACATGATGTAAGGAAGAAAAGCAAAATGGTTCATTAGTTCATTCCCCAAGAGAATATTCTGGCATCGGAGTAAGAAACAAGAGATGAGGACCTAGGCAGTGCAGAGTAAGGAGAAGGTGGATAGGGACAGAAGTTAGAAATAATTCACTTTATATTTCAAATGATTCACTTTTATAGGGTCATGCTAATAAGTCAGACTGACACTATAACAATCAATCAGGCAACCATGATGCAAGAGAAGCTACATCCAGAATTATGGGTAAAAACTTACCACCTAGAAGGCAAATTTATTTTTTATAGGAATCCAGAGGAAGAAGAGAAGAAAAACACATTATCATATAGTTAGTTCTTATGAATACTACTATACATTCAATAGACTTGTAATAATAGGCATTGTAAATAAAGATTAAAGACTCTAATAAACAAAACCTAAAAATAATAGACAATCTTAAGTATATAGAACACATTTATGAAAACAAAACTAAGAACTAATAATCGCCAAAGACATGATTTTGAAGATACTATAGTGAGGTTTACTTGTATTTATAATTTTCTCCCTCATATATGTAATTCTGCCACTTCAGCCAATTGTTAATTATGCATGATTGGCACAACTTGAGATAATATTAAAATGTCCATTTAAGTAAACTGTCTCTTAGATTATAGTTGCAAAAAGAAGTGTGATGTTTTACTTAATCTTTCAATTACTCACAAGTGGTCTAAAGACAAAACCAGAGCAAATCGAATCTGTGGTTCTGAACCTGGGGTGCCATGGCTTGTTTGGACATCAAGCATCTGAGTTATCTGAATAAATAATAAACCTCACACCTTTATTTTACTTCTACTTCAAATTATTGCAATGAATAAGATACATGTTTATTTGAAAGTATTATCAAAATAATCCGCTTTTAATAGAAATAAATCCCCCCAAATCTATGGAAGTTCTATTAGATCCTCAACCTTTAAATAAAAGGTTATTGAATTCTTTTTTTCTCCATCAGAAGACACTAAATACACAATACTGATATGTAGATGAGATCTCAAAATATCCAAGATGAAAAAACTTCCCCATTCTGGGATTAGTGTTACATGGGGACAGCCTTCTCAAAACTGTCTCCTTTGGCTGAAAGTAAGATTGAGAAATTGAGTGGGAGGAAAGGGAAGGGAAAGAGTTGCAGCTGTTATACGGTGGGGAGAGGAGAAAGCACAGAACGCTTGCTTCTCTGTAAGACAGTTCACAACCATACACTTACATGGCCATGGAGATCTGTGTTAAGAAGCATCATCGCACAGGTGAGACAATGAACACCGTCTAAGGAAAGAGACAAGGACAGAAAGCATTAATTCACTATTTCCTAGACTCCTTTTGTCATTAACATAGCATATATTAAGACCACAATATATATGAAAGCACCATACTGTAACTAGACAAAAGTAATCACATTTGTTTGGGGAGACAGAAATCAGATAAGAATAAATAATTAAAAAGACCTCAGTGCACAATGTTGGACTCTACTGGATAAAGTGAATTATCCCTACCTCTCAGAAGGACAATTTGATAGTACATATCTCTAAGCTTTGAAACAATGTCCTTTGACACAGCAAACTTACTTCTGGGCTTTACACTAAGGAAATAAAAATGTATACAACATACAAGGATATTCAAAGAAACACTGATTATAATAGGGAGCAAGTAAATATTACCCTTTTTTGGAAAACATAATTGTTATGTTTAAGTAATTTAAAATGTTGTCCAAGTATACATATTGAAGTGGAAAGATATTTCACAATAAATTAGTATATGAAAAACACATTATATATAGTATAATTCCATTTAAATATAAATACATCTGAAATAATATATAAGGTGATATTTAAAAGATTATTTCTAGAAAATGAAATGGTAATTTTTTAATTTATATCTTCTCAATTTTAACAACAGATATAAAAATGAATATAAATAGTGTAGTGCTGTTCTTTTTATTAAAAAACACTTTCTGGGATTAAAGTGAATTAGGAAAGAAGCAAAAGTTATAGAAAGCCACAATTTGAATCTTCCTCAGTTTACTGTTTGGGTATTACTCCTTTGGCTAACAATGTATAATTAGGAATAGCTATCTTTTTTTCTTGCCATTCTTTAAAGAAAAATGTAGTTTGAATGGTCCAAGATACTATGAATCCAACAAAAGCAAAATACTAAAATAATCTGTGAAAATTTTAAATTTAAATATTCAGGGGGAAAAGTTGCCCAAGCCGGAAGAATTTCACACATATAGAAGCATTACTTTTCTTACTTTATATAAAAAAAGGAAAAAGCACTGAGTTAAGCTTCTCATTTCCAAGTTTTCTTCTGCTCTCTCTGCAATTCTCAACCCAAGTATAGTAAGATAGCGTATTTTTCCAGAGCATGCCTTTAAGTATAGTAGGATATTTCTGTTATTAAAGTCTCTAGATTGATGCTTTTATGAACCTAAAAGTATAGTTATCCCAGTCTCAGTTTATTATAAGAAATTCTAAATACATTTAAAACAAATTCCTGAAAGTATCTGTTAAACTCAGTTGATAAATATCCTATCAACAGGCAAGTGAATGCACAAATCCATCTTCCTATTACATTCTGGAATGTCATGTTAACATCTTGGGATTTGAAGAAGGTTTTAATAAAAACAACCCTTTCCTCTTTTATATCTGGCATTCTCTGCTCAATGCTGAGAGTGATAGAGACAGTGAATAAATTACCTAAATATAGTCAAAGAACGGAATAAAGAAAGAAATTTCCATTTCAGAGATAGGGATGTGACTTTATTTTTTTCAAAATATGTTTTTCTTGATTTTGAGAGAGAGGAAGGGAGAGGGAGAGAGAGAAAACATGCAACCTGGACATGTGTCCTGACCAGGAATCAAACTGGTGACCTTTTGGTAAACAGGACGACACTCAACCAACTGAGCCACACCTGCCAGGTTAACAGAGCCAGGATTTGCATCCTCCACAGCATCTTTACTATTTGGGTGTTAGTTCTCTGGCTAACATAGACAGAAACAGTTATCTTCTTTCTTGCCATTCTTTAAACAAAATATTTAGGTTGAATGGTCCAAGATACTATTAATCAAACAAAATCAGGAATGTGACTTTAATAATCAGATAGTTGTTTATTATATTCTGAAGGATTGGGGTGGGGCAAACAATTACTTTATTCAATATCAAATACACTTTTCTTTAATTAACTGGTAATAGTGAAGCTGGGAGATAACTACCATTTCTACTGTATCTGCTCTCAGCCATTTATTCCAGAATGTGTAACCCTATGGAGGGCTCTCCAATGGCAAATAAATGCACTTGAGTTCAAGTCCCGAAAACTTTGCTATATTGTAGGAAATGAAATGGAGAAAGACCACTCTTCATAAGGTACACCAACAGCTAAAGTTGCTTTTTAAAAATAACACAATAAACATAAGCTAAAGTCAGTGTTGTTTTGACTATTATCAAACAAAAGCACCAGACACACACTATAAACTCCAGTGAGATTTGTAAATATTTCCAAAACTAAGCACGCATGCACCTCATCAAGGAATTAGAGATCAGAAGCTGAGAAAGAGGAAATATGAAATCTGAGATTTCATTTATTACAATCCATTTTGCACATAAAATCTCAGTGACAAAGCATAAGCAATTTAAAAAATATTGTCACACTCTGGAGCTGGAAAATAAGAGAAAAATAACTGAGTAAAGAATGCCATGCATCAATAAATATGCTTTTTAGAGAATATTTGATGCCATGAGAAAATGCTCACAATGAAAGAGAACAACAGTAGGAAACAACTCCCTAGTGATTCTGATTTCACATCAAATAAATTTTGTATAAATAAACTAGAAATTAGTAAATCTGACTGTTTATAATAGCTATCCTTAGAAAGAAATATTTAGATGACTTTCATTTCTTTTGTATAATTTTCCACAATCAAATGTAACTTTTAAAATGAGGAAAACAATCCTATTATAAAAAAATAAATCCAAGCATTTCCATCAGATTACCTTGTGAAGAAATGGTATCCGGATTACAATAAAAATATCTATTGGAGAAGTGTATTAAAACTCTCTCTCGTTCTTGAGTTTCTCCAACAAGAGAAAATGCTTTAAAGAAATACCTAAAAAAGAATTGGGGGAGAGGTAAATTTTAGAAAATGTTACACTCTTTATAGTTGACAGATAAAAGTTAATTCATATAAGCATAAGAAATTACACACATTAAGATATGCTGCAGTTATTTTTTTTTAAATCGCTTAATAAATGGCCATTCAGTAAAAATTCATACTGACATTTCATTTCTTAAATGGCAATGTAAAAGATGACAGGACAATAAGGTGAAGGCCAATACATCAAAAAAGCTTTGCAAAGGTAGGTAATTTCCTCATATGACTCACATAGCCATTTAAAAGGATCAATTGAGTAAAAAACCAAAGAATACTTAAGACTAAACACAAAACCATGCAGGCTATGTTTTAAAACTCAACATGGATCACAGGGGTTTTTTTTTGCCTTTTTTTACATGACTATAATTGCCACTGACCCACCATTAAAATTACAATTATATTGTTGTGTGCAAATATAGATTTCTGTTCATTTTACTTCGCCTATTATCACCACATAAATAAATTGTTACATGAGGAGGAAATTGAAAAGTAAAACTATTTATTCCATAAATTAGGAATAAATTAATTTGTGTATAAAACTTCTCTGAGCCCTAGCCAGTTTGGCTCAGTGGATAGAGCGTTGACCTGCAGAATGAAGGGTTCCAGGTTCAATTCTGGCCAAGGGCAGATGCCCAGGTTGTGGGCTCAATCCCCAGTGGGGGGCACACACAGGAGGCAGCCAATCAATGATTCTCTCTCATCAATCATTGATGTCTCTCTCTCTCTCTCTCTCTCTCTCTTTCTCTTTTTCCCTTCCTCTTGAAATCAATAAAAATATTTTTAAAAAACTTTTTGGAACAATAGAAAATATTTCCAAAACCGCACACACAGCCCACATCAGAGTCACTGAGAGTACTATCTATCTATCTATCTATCTATCTATCTATCTATCTATCTAAAAGCCTAAGTGTCCATCCAACTGGTCCAACCTGTAGCTATAATGTGCACTGACCACCAGGAGGCAGAAGCTCAATGGAGGAGCTGCCATGAAGTACACTGGCCATTTAAAAAGAAACAGCACCATGCACCTGGCGCTGACAAAACATTTGGCTTTCCTCAAGTGGGACACAGGCTTTACCACTACTGCAGAGTGATTTGCCCCCACCAAATCGCAGCCAATGCTGCCAAGACTCAAAGGCACAAAATGCAGCCCACAGCCCAGCCCATAAACAGTGGCCATAGGCACAGGGTAAATGAAGTTACGTAGCAATGCCCAGCTTCCTCTCCTAATGACGAGCCTCCTTGGAGTTCAGTCAGGAACATGATTTGCTTTATAGCCAAGTGCAAACATTTTACACTTTAATCAAATGTTAGTGAAGCATTTTCCCATGCCTCATCTCATTTGATCCTCACAGAAGTTCTGGAGTAGGTAGGTAGGAGATTCGGTAGAATTCTATTTTCTTTTCATTAGCAAGATGCAAATAAAGATATTAAAATATTCTAATTAATCTCCTTTCAATGTGCCTGAATCCATGCATCAGGACACTAGTTACAGATAAATCCAGATGTCCCTCACTTGACAAAGTAGATGCATCCCCATGAGATGGGAAAGAAAAATTCATTTAAAATGCTCTAAGAAATATTATTATTGAAAGAAACATACAATAATAAATCTTATTTCTATGATAAAAATGTTGCTCTTTATAGTCTGCTAATCTAAACTATACTAATAAAACTTTTTTTCTAACTTTTAAAAAATAAACCACATAAAAAAGTAAAACAAAAGCAAAACAAAAATATAGATCTCTCCTCCACCCTTACCTGTTTTCATTGCAAAATCAGTGAGTACCTTTGATTCATGCAAAGAGCCATAGAAGAAGTCTCTTTGTGTGTTATCATCCAAACAGCCCCACTTCGCCCCCCAGGTCTCAGTTTCCTGTTTTGTAAAGCTAGAAGGTTACACCCTTGATCTCAGAATTCCTCCAGGCTCTGACATGTTTGTTATAAACTTCTTAAGAGTAGATGCTGACTGGGTTCTACTTCTAGCTGCTGTTATAGAAATTTATTGTACAATATGGTGTGGGAAAATGAGGATCAGATTGTGTAAGTCATTTTCATATGAACACATAAGCAAAAAGTGTTACTGCCTGATATACTTTTACAGATACTTTCTGCTGATTATGTTGATATTCATTTTTATTCCATTCATGAGTTAATTCCAAAGTATTGTCTTAAAAGATTAATTGGTATTGTAAACAAAAGCTTAGGAAAAATACCTAAAATTCTACAGTCTATATGTAAACTGCATTTTTTTAAATTCATCTCATGAAGACCAAATTCTCAGATTCCATTTCTCCTCATGACTAATGCTGCCACCATTCTTTACAATGTCACCTATTAGATGCCGAATGTGAGTTCGTGTAATTTCATAAAAACAATATATTTTTCTCATTTCCTGATACATATTATTTATAATTGGAACTAAATTCACAAAGTAACTGTGGGTTAAAAAAAAAATACACATCAGTCTGGCCAGCATGACTCAGTAGTTGCAGGTCAACCTATGAACTAGAAGGTCATGGTTCGATTCCCAGTTAGGGCACATGCCCGGGTTGCGGGTTCGATCCCCAGAGTGGGGCACGCAGGAATCAGCCAATGAATAATTCTCTTTCATCATAAATGTTTCTAGCTCTCTCTTCCTCTCTGTAATCAAATTTTAAAAAAAATCTAAACAAATAAAAATCAGATTTTAGCATCAGCACAATACTTTCTCTTCTTAGGAGAAATTCTTAGGAGGCAAAAAGAATAGGAATGTAATCTTACCTGAGAGACTGATCCAGCGTCATTCCTGTAAAATCAAAAAACTTCAGATATTCTTCTGCAACTAGTTTGCTAAATTCATTGCTATAAGAAAGCAAAATAGACTTGGTTATTAATATAAAAGCACACGCGTGTGTACACACAAGTGTACACACACACACACACACACACACACACACACACACACACACACACGGCCTTGGGACAGAACGTACTTCTTGCCTAGGTGCTTCGCGACATCCGACCTTTTAAATCTGTCTAGTTGATAAAGGCGTTTGGCCAACCTCTTGGCTGCTTCTACATTGCTGCTAGTGCCATTGCTGAGACTTTCTGAGGGCTCCTTTTCCAGAATTTCAGTGTTCCCCATTTCAGCATGAGCATCCAGCAGTGCTGTTTTCACCCCAGCATGGCTGCGAGAACTGAAAAGGAAGGGAAAAAAGAAGTCAAGATTTGTCTTGCATGGCAAAAAGGAAAATACCTGAAAGAATTATCATGATATTGTAGAACCAACTAAATGAAATAAAAAACACAATTTTAAATGAGACTGTTTTATTCGTAACCATTTGTACACCATAAGCATCCATAGACACAAATGGTGGACCTTTTTAAATTAAATTCAAAATATCATGGCAGTTAACTGATTAATTATTCATAAAATATTGTCAGTTACTATTTCAATGCACTAAAGAAATGATTGCTTACATCCTGGATAAGCAGTTCTCAAACCTTTTGGTCTCAGGACCTTCACATTTTTTAAAATATGGAGGATTCCAAAGACCTTTGATTATGTGAGTTATATCTATTGATATCAACTGTATTAGTAATTAAAATAGAAATTTTTCAAATATTAATTCATTTAAAAGTAAACCATGTAATGAAAATAAATAATATATTCTTATTAAAGATAACTATATTTTCCAAAACAACAAAGTTTAGAATTACTTTTCCATGCAACCGTAATGATATCAACTGTATTAGTAATTAAAATAGAAATTTTTCAAATATTAATTCATTTAAAAGTAAACCATGTAATGAAAATAAATAATATATTCTTATTAAAGATAACTATATTTTCCAAAACAACAAAGTTTAGAATTACTTTTCCATGCAACCGTAATTCACATTTTTTATACATTTCTTTAATGGCTGGCTTATTAAAAGACAGCTGCATCCTCACAGCCACTTCGACATTCAAGCTGTAATAACATTGACTTGGTGAAATAGTTTTAAGAAAATCCAGCGTCAGACAGATATTTAGTTAATTTTAATAATCCTTTAAAGATCATTGTAGATATTTTCTGATATGACACCCAAATAAGACAGTAGTAAGTTCTTAAAGTTTAGTTGCAATACAGAATCTAACTAACAGTGAATGTTTTGTAGGAATATTAAAATCTATCTTACATTTTGAATGAACCTTTTACCAGAAATGATTCTGCAACATGCAATGGTCATTTGCAAAATATCTGTTGACATATTTCATTATGCAATATGAAGAAAAGTCATATTCATTAATGTCACCACTAATAATATCTTCAGGAAAGTCTTAAGTGTTGGGAAGTTGTCAGATTTTTGGTACAGAGATAAGTTTTCTAAACTTCTAATTTTTGATGGAAAGCTCACATGTTATCAATGGCAACAAAAATTGTCACTTGTTTTCCTTAAAGTGATAGACACAATCTTAATTTCCAAGAAAATGTCTGCCAGTAATGTAGTTTTCCAGTCAGACTTTGAAGGGAAAATGGCACTCCATGAAAAAAGGGAGTAGTTTACAGCTCACAACTCTAATTACGTCCAAGTGCTTTTCCTGGAGAGGACCATCAGGAGAAGTGCTTTATGGATATTTTCCATTTCATCTCATGAGAAATGAAAAAGGCATGTAGTCAAGGGTTGAAATATAATTAATGTGTACTGCTTTATCAAAGATATTTTTAGGCTAAACGGATCTGTTTTTATTTCAAGTGCCTGGTAGTACAGTGCAATTCAGCGATTAGAATAGTTTGGTGCTACTCCCTGGGTTAGTGCTAAGACACTCCCTCCCACTGCTTTTGTACCATCAGTGCAAATATCAACACAGTAAAACAGGAAAATGATGCTGTGCTGTTATTATAAAATAACTTTGATTTCACAAACCAACTGAAGGGTCTTGGTAAGCCCCACAGACCATACTGTGAAACTTCTGTTCTAGAAAGGAGTCTGTGGCTAGCTGTACAATGCTACATTAGGCAGACACAGAAACCAATGAACTGACATGCATATATGCATAACCCATGGACACAGACAATAGTGTGGTGAAGACTGGGAAGGGGGCAGGAGTGGAGTGGAAGGAGTTAATAGAAAACAAGGGGACATCTGTAAAAATTTAAAAATATATATTTTATAGAAAACAACACAATGGAAGGAAAGTATCCATCACTTTTTTCTGAGTAGTGAAAATAAATGGGTGATTTTCTTTAAAAAAATAATAAAACCAATGAGAATACAGTAATTTCCAAATCTTCGTTTTAACTTGGTAATAAAACAAAGCTATTTCATGATGAACTACTGTGAGCAAGTAGCCTTCCAACACATTTACAACAGACGCTAGACGGAATGTTTCTGTAACGGACCAGACAGTGAAGATTTTGGACTTGCAGGCCATATAAGGCCCCTATCACACGTTTCTTTGTTTCTGTTGTTTTTTTTTACAACCTTTAAAAACTTAAGAGTCATTCCAGGCAAGGCTAAATGAGGTCCATAGGCCAGTTTGTGTGTCCTTGCCCTATCCCATACTTCTTTAACTTGGTCTAAATAGTAAGTATAATAACGATTTATGTCTAAAATAGGACACTCTGAAGAAGGAATAGGGATGACCAGTCTTTCAATATGCAATTGTAATTATTACAAGTAAAATAAGCATTAGAAATTCACTGTAAATTTACATCATGTAATAAATACAAAAATCACATTTGCAAAGATGAGTATTTTAAAAACTGCTTGATCTCTATTTTGTCACCTATTCTATCTAAATTATAATTTCCCATTTTGCACTAATCCACTGACTACGTGTTAGCCTGGCAGCTTCACTGCCACTGAAATGTAGTTGGGCTACTGCACAACCAGCTGACACACCAAGTAGCTCCTACAGGCAAAGTCCCTGGCTTCCCCAACCACTGCCAGACCTGAGGGAGTTAACTGTCCCCAGCAGCCCCTCCCCAAGCTCACTTTCCCAGCTCCTTGCTGTCCTGAAGAGGACTATCAGGAAAGAAAAAAAAAAGAAAGGTTATCCCACACTGTCTCTGAGACTCAATCAACTACAGGAAAATTCTGTTCTATACACATGCCAATCACACCTTCCAGAAGAGACTTCGGAGAAGCTGGAAATACAAGGTGAGGGTTTATCAAATCCATGTTCATGGTATTACTTCATTTTCTTAAAGTCAAAGTCAAATGTGAAAATATAGTCAATTCCAGGACAACAGACACAAACTATAGCTGATCCAGGAGAACCAGGATGCCTGGTAACCTCCTTAAACAAGTTTTCAGCAAAAATACCTACAAATGACAATAAATTGCTTCATCATGGTGAAACCTTCATGCAAATATATCTAAATATTTTTTCATTCTAAACCTTCCTTTAGAGAATTGACATTACCCAACCAGATTGGTGAAAATTATCTTACCGGAAATTGAATATTTAATTATTACATATGGCAAACCAATAATAAACAAACTCATAGAAGAAAATTTCTTTTAAAGAAAACTTTGTGTTTTCTCTCATAAGTGGTGAAATGTAAAATAGTTATTCCAAGAATAACTAATAACTAATAATAGTTAAAATCAAGTAATTTTTATAAATAAATAAAAATATCCCTGGAATTGTGTTCCTATGCCTTCTCTTACTCTATAATTAGCTTTCATGTTGGAGGAAAATGTCAAAGAAAGGATTTTCTTCTCAGTTAAACTGGTACTACTGTTCACCTCTCAGGGAAAATTCATGGCATATACTTAATCACTCCAGGCAAACATGTAGTTTACACATCGTTCTGCAAAGATTTTGTTTAAATACAAGATACTTATCCTAATGAGCATATTTTTTAAATGCAGTAGCCAAAATTATTCCTATTGTTCATGTTTCTCATTCCTCACATTTGCCTTCTCTTTCTACCAGCTTTCCCAGTCCAGTCTATTTCTCATTTTCCTCACATTCACCAGGAGGTAATATTAAAACTGGTAGGCATCAGATGTCTCTGGATTTTAATTAAAAAAAGAAAATTAAGAATAAAGTGAGGTTAAATACCTCCATTCCTAGATGGTTTCATTCTGTCCCACCTCACAATTCACCAGATTATGTAAATGAGAACAGAGATTGCTCCTTTTAAATCAGAATGTCTGTGAAAACATGGCAACACAAACTTACCAGCAATAAGATAGACACCAAGAGAAGCTCATCATGGAGCCCAGGGTGCGCATGGGCCATACTTCCTCTGCTCAGCCCCGTCCCATCCAGGACCCATTCGCCCACAAGTCCAGCTCTGCTGGTCCTCTAGGCATTCCAAAGAACTGGCTCCCTGTGAGGTCACATTACTATGACCTCACGTTCTCAGCAGAGTGCTTATTGTTGGGGCTTTTGTAATGCTTTCAGAGCCTCCATACAAACAGGAGCCAGAACACAGGGGCCACTGTAGGAAGAACATAAGCAACAATGGCAGCCCGGCCTTGTTCACATTGGATCAAGCAGAGCGGATAGTCCCTCTCCGAGAGAATGACACCCATGTTACAAGACACTGGCCATCTAGTCTGTTGACTATTAGATGCTTTCAATGGTTTGAATTTCCCCTTTCCTATAGTTCCATTTTCTTCTTAATAATCTCATAAGGTGAAATCCCTACCAGTGATTTGAATGTAGAAAACATTTCCCAAAAGATTCTCCCTGCATTCTACCAAACGCTTGTACCTCACACCTCCAAACAAACGTGGTAACGTTAAAAAAAAAAAAAAAAAATCAAATCATTGAGTCTGACCACCAAGCCTTTCATGACCTTTATTATTTTTTTAATCAAACTAGGATTACAAGATTTTTCAAATAAAAATGATAAGACACCCAACTAGATCTGAATTTCAGGTAAACAAAAAAATAATTTTCAGTTCAGTATATTTCAAATATTGCGTGGGCATACTGAACACTAAAATATCATTCCTTGATTATCTAGAAATTCAGATTTAAGTGGACTATATCTCCTGAAATGTTTATTCTTATCGGCTTTATTTGAAGAATTCCAATAATGGTGCTCTCTGTGAATTGGTAGCGCTTTCCACAATCACACTACCTTCCAGGTTTGTGTTTCTTGTGGGGTTTTTGTTGTTGTTTTGTGTTTTTTTGTGTGTTTTTTTTTTTTTTTGGTATTCTTTTTTCAGTTTAATTTTGCAAATTTATTTT